GTTGAAGGTCCGTGGATTCCAGGTCGCACCTGCCGAACTCGAAGGGTGCATTCTGGACCACCCCGACGTGACTGATACATGCGTGGTTGGAATACAAGATGAATATAGTGGCGAATTACCACTGGCATTCGTTGTTCTCCGCCCCGGGGCTGTTAAACGTGTCGAAGAAAGTCCTTTAGCCGTGGAGGAGATCAAAGCGTCTATTATGAAGGTAAGCGCTTCGAATCACCAGAGAACGTGTGGCGCTTATATTTCGACTTTACAGCACGTTGCTGATAACAAAGTTGGCTACAAGAAGCTCGCTGGAGGTGTCGAGATCATTGATATTATCCCAAAGAACCCGAGCGGTAAACTTTTGAGGAGGGTGCTAAGAGACAAGGCCAGGGAGATGCGGATGAAACCCAAAGCGAAGCTGTGATATGGTGGTTCTGGTTGTGAGTCGTCTGTACACTGAATTATACCATTATTTGTCATTCTTTCGTCGATAGGTCCTCCTACAGTCACGCACTCTTCAGCACACCATCTGTATGATACTGAATGATACTGAACCTTCCGACATTCATAGAATCGTTGATTTAACACAGAAAGAGGGGTTGTTTTCTAGTCTAGAATACATCGCCCCACTACTGTAGTATGATTGGTGGCCCAATAAGATGCTGGATGACAGTGAACATGATGTTATGTTCATTCCATTTTTACTTATACTAGAGGAGACTGGAGATGTAACTCATACATGTCACCGTGGATAGGCTGAAAGTTACCACATGTGGCTGTACTCAGCTACAGCACCATGTCAATTTTGAGGTTTTGCCATGCAAGACACGAGTAGTTTAGAGGGTTCATACTTGAAGGAGTATTGCTTCTCTCTCACATTCTGTGCCAAATTTTGCTCTCTGCCATAAGAGTGTCAAATTTCTGAGTGTACGAGTGCGGGTTAACCACTGAAGCCTCTGATATCGCATTTGACAGGGTTGTAACTCCAGCAAGTATTGGTCGCCTGACCTTGGAAGACTTGTATGATAAAACAGAAACCAACCCACATAAAGTACTCAATGTGTGGCAGATTCTGTTCCTATGATGATCGGGTTGGGTGCAGGCTGCGCGGATGAGACTTCCGCGTGAAGGTCCAGCTGGTAAGAGTTACAATAGATTTCTACACACCACAAAGGGAAAATAACAACAAAAGTGTACTGATGTAACAGGTTTGCGCCATACTCTATGTACGCGAGGTTTTGGACCTCAGAGTCAACAATCGGCATCCGCAACATCTACAAGATCGCAGATGCCATAAAAGTCATCACCACGGCAATGATAACGCCCCTCGACGATGCTTGTAGACCGACAGCCGCGCTCGTGCTGGTAGTAGTACTAGTAGTAGCAGCGACGACTGGTGGACATTGCGGAGCAACAAGCTGCTCGCCGTATGTAGAGGCAACCCAAAGGAGTACGCCGTTCGTCCATCCGAATCCAGCCTGAACGGTGTATTCACCGCCACCACCAGAAGCGTCGACATTGAGGTTGGAAAACTTCTCAAACATCTGTATTACACGTGAGTATATGGTCTGAAGAATCATTGAGAATGACGGACGTTACCAGTGTTACCAACGCTGTCGGTTATATTTAGCTCACTAGTTGGAAGCTGGGGAAGCAATCCTGGAATTGAACCACCAGTGGCATGCCTGAGGAAGTCTCAGCACGTTTCATTGAAGAACAGGTGTATCCCACTTACCAACTGCAGAGCACGCTAACGTAATATCTGTTAGCCAGCTCGCGTTGAAGCGTGTCCCTCCACCCTTCGCCCGCAGTGGCATTTCCGCCATTAATAACAGTACCGCTTAACTTGTTGATATCCGCCGCTGGACCAGTCGCGGTCGCGTTTTGATTAGTTTGTGATCCGAGGATCGGTTGACCAGGAAGTTGAGCTTCCGTAAAGCCAAGCTGGCCTGCCGGGACGAGATCATATGTAGACTGATTTGAGCCGGGTGTAGGCAACCCGTTGGTGGTAAGATTAGACGGAATAGCCTGGAGTGCCTGCAAGATGATGTACTGCAGTGGAGGCCAACAGTTCGGGGCGTCCCTGTAATATACGTGTCATAAGATCTACATGGAAAAGACGTAGAGAGCTACCATTGCAAGCCGGTCCAATCGACAAAAGTGACCGGAACTGTACCATTGTACTTGTTCACTGCCAAATTGACCGCTGCGAAGTAACCAAATGCATTGGATTGAGAGGCGAGGACTTCGTCGGGGATGATGCCGTTCCAAACAGGATAGTAAGTTGCGGCCGTAAATATATCGTTGCGGGCATTCGAAGTCAGGTTAAAGTCATAAAAAGCGAGCTTGGCTGGGTCCCAAAGGAGGTCCAGGATACCCTCACGAATGCCGGTAGCGACCTGGAGATGGTTGCTTGACGCAGTCGCATTGGACGTGCCGTAAAGCTCAGCAAGAAGCAATCTAGCCTTGTCTGTCATCCCAAAGTTCCCATCAACCAAAACGCACAACAACAAATTGACATACACAGAATACTGTTAAGACAGATTGGGATGTTGTTCTTCACATTGAGCGAACGCAGGCCAGGGTTGCCAAGCTGAGGGATAGCCTCAAAGCGTGAACTATAATCCCATCCGGTCTCAGCGCCAGATGCAAGCTCGCTGTAAAGCTCGGCAGCCTGATCATCCGTGAGGGGCGTAGAAAGAGTTGGGTCATGAACAGTCAGATAATCTGAATATTGGCACATTGAGAAAAAAAAGTAGGAGAGTCGGATTCACCAGAATAACCCACCAGTGAGATATGATTCAGGTCGAGGAGCAGTGTTGGTGACTGCATAGTGTGCCATCATGTAGGTCCGGTTGGTGTATGGGCTTGTAACTTCAATTGTACGATTATTTGCCCACCAGGCAAGCTCAGCCTGTACAGATCTTCAGAATGTGTACTCTACAAACGGAGTAGACTACTGACCTCAGCCAAAGGAAGAGCGCGTTGTAGAATCGAAGTATCTCCAGTTACGTTAACATAGTCATACACCATCTGTATCACGATTTGATGTCATGATCACATCGAAGAAATCCAAATCTCAGCAGAACTCACATGGATAAAGAGAGGTGGTTGTGACCGATTCAAGTCTATATCACCAACAATGAGATGCGCCGACTCATTCAGGACGATCTACTCACAATAGATACGACCACCGTTCGGAATGAAACCGAAGTTCTCGATCTCATCCATGAAGTTTTGCAAAGTGGTGTTTACAGTTTCATATAACTCTGACTGAAATAGACCCTGAATAATCCAGTAGCTGTCCCAGTAATCTGTCGAAAGCCACCAGATATCATCGATAGCCACCTGAGCAGAGACACAGAGAAACACGAACATTGTTCTCTAAAGCGACCACCAGGAATAACGAATGTATGGTTCAGGGGAATGAACGAGCCCTCGCACGTGCCGCCGGGGTAATCGTCACAGACAGCAGACTGGTTGGTATTACGGGCAAGCTGAGTCCAGTAACCATGAACAGTTTGCGCAAACGCCTTCAACAAAGGGTCTGTCACGTTGTTGAGGAATGCTGGAGTAGGATTGAAGTTCGTGAGGGCAGCAGCCTCCAGTTCAAGACCCTCCCCAAGGAAATCGTTATCAACAAAATTCACAACCTCCCCTTCGGTAGCCGTCGACAAGTTGAAGTTGCTGAAGTCTGCAAGAACTTGCTGAGAAGACTTGCCGGTTGGCTTATCCACGAAGGTCTTTGGGTCAGAGTACACCTGAGCGATATTGACTGTCTGCAACAACTGAACAAAGGTTAGTACTGGGACCCTCAAAATCATTGTAGACTGAAACGTACTGAACCAGCGCAAAATATTTGACCAATGCACCATCCTTGGGTTGGGGGTAGTGATGCCTGCGAAGGTAGAGTCGCGCCTAGTGATGCACTAGGGCTAGCCACCGCTGTCGAAATGGTCAATGTTGGCAACGCGGTGCCAGGCGCAGTGGTGGTAGTACTACTGATAGTAGCTGCCAATATGGTATGAACAAGGCCAGCGACGACCGCAACCTTCAAACTCGACACCATCGATGATGAGCGCGGGATATGTGGGTCCTAGTCACCAGCGACCCTAATAGCGTTACGAGATGTCGTATAGATACCAGGAGCTCTTGAAGCCTGCCACGACATAATCGCCAGCTCATGGGAGTTCTTATAGGCCGCCCTCCCATGCACACTAGGCGGCCACCCTGGCTACAAAACATTGACAAATCCTGGTATTGTTGATGATGCACATGGATCAGTTGCCTTGACCGAGGTCTGCTGACTCCGGCGTCTTGCAAATCTCCCGCAACATTTCAACTCGTAAGATGTCTCAATTCTCATCAATATCCCTGCCATGAAAGATCCGAGGACATCGGTAGGGGAATTTTCCCAGTGATGCAGTTTGGTACTAGTAACAACGATCGTAATTGGCGAACGGAGTTGCCCGTACGCCTCTAATTTGTCACTCATAATCATTGACACACTCATTCCTCCAGCAAATGCCCCGTAGTGCAGCATATACCAATGTATCAACTAGCCAGCAGACCCGCGACGCTTATGAAATACAAAACGCTTCAACCCGCCCATCTCATAGTTCAGTGAAGAGTTGTGCACGTGGACGTACCTGAAAATCCCTCAGCGTCAAATCGATGGCGACAGCAACGGGGTCGGGCCGAACTTCATCAGGGATTCAGAATGGAAGTCTCGTTCACCGGTAAAGCTACAGAAAAAGATGTTGAAAAGATGTCGAAGAAAATCTTGACAACCATGGTAGAATAACGTTTTACTGTGGTCGGGAGCAGGCGGCTTAGATGGGGTCAACGAGACCGACAGCATCGAGGAAAGGGTAAAACTCAACAAGTCGAAGGCTACCAAGGGTGCGCTTATTCAACAATAGCGCCTTGATACGGCGGCAGCGGAAATAGTCAGGTCTAGGCGCATATCTCATTACTCATTCCCTCGTCAATTAATAGCTCCAAACCGTTAAGCAGATCTTGAGAACTCAACAGCAAGGTGCCATGTGCAATTTGCAACATCCCAAAGGTCTTCACCGATCGATTGATACACGTACGCTCAGAAAGAAGTATCATTCGTCACGGGAATAGGTCAATGACGTACTTACGGATGCACCCTTTTAGCCCTTCCGCAGCCTATCAAGCATCCTAAATCCTCATCTGGCGTAGTGTAGTTGCTTCTCGAAGCTCATACACCTCAGCAGACATGATATTAATGCTACAACGCACCTGCCCCCTGAGCAGAGCAGCCCCAGCGTGAAAAGCCCACTCTCTGTTCAATCGACCATCAGCTTTTCCGTGTGCAGGCCTTCGCCGTATGCCATGCTCTCGAAGATTATTTGTCTCCAGATACTGATGGTGAATTCTTGTGCCTCTTCTTCCAAAACCTGTTTATGGATGTTTAGTGAATGAGAGGTACACCGACTATATGTAAGGCGCACCGGCTCCAACCCTTCGATAAGCTTGTGAGGCCCCTTGTGATCCTTAAGGTGCTCCACGACAAACATGACAAGGTCGTCATCCTCTAGTTCACCGAGATAGCTGACCATTCGACGGCGTATCAATGGCTCCAGCTTGCGGTCAATCATGGGCTATGGCACATTATTAGCAGGCAGCTTGTGCACGAACAACCAAATTCTTACATCTGAAACACCATCCCACCTGACTTTTGCCTTAAATAGCGCCTCCTTATTGTGGGGTACAGATTCCTTGATCATCTGGAGGCGTTCTTTGGCCTTATCACCTTCGGTGGCGCTAAAGTCAAGCTTAACGAGAGGCACCTTCCGCTTCTTGATGCCCTCTTCCTCCTCCTCTTCCTGTCCAAACACAGTCGGTTTCGTGTCCTTTGGAATAGGTTCTGCCTTGACAGGCGGGGGATTCAGTGATACGCTAAGCTTGACTGGCGCACCGTCATCAAGAAGCATGCCTGCTTTCCGCTGCTCTTCGGCAAGAGCTTGCATGTCCTCCATCTGGCGTGCGAGGAATTTCTCAGACTCGACACGAAGATTCTCTGTCTCACGTTCTTCATAGATGCGCGACTCAGAATCCGTTGCTTCTTCTGCAGCAAGCCTACGGGAACGAGTCTGTCTCCATCGTGTTCTGATAGACTATGAGCGAAATCACGGAGCACAAACTTGTAAACGTACCTGTCGACGTAAAACATTTCATCACTTTCGTCATCATCCCAAACATCCAAACGAGCTTGCATTTCAACACGATCCCGCTCTTCTGCCTCTTTGATTGCGTTCTGACGGGCTATCGAACGCTCCAGAGCTGCTATACGAGTGCGTTCTCGAGGCTCGTAGCGACGTTCGCGCTAGATCGTGAAGGTTAGTATGATGATTCTACCTGATGAAATAACTACTGCGACTTACGTCCCGGAAAGAAACCTCCTCGTCTCGCCGCCTGGCTTCCTTGCGGTCCTTTTCAAGTTCCTCGTCTGTCTTTCCGCTCTTGCCCGGCATACTCCGATCATCAGACCCCATTGCAGCGGCACCATCTTCGGCTTTTACAAACCCCACAGGTTTGCTGTATCCCTGAGCATCCTTTCCACGGGGTGCTGATTTACCAGGAATACCCTGTGGTGATTGTGGGGTTTGTGGCTTTCCCCATTCGCGGACTTTCGGTCCGCTCGGGGTAGGTGCAAGCTGTGGCATGGCATCACGAACATCACGTAACTTTTCCCGCTCCCGCTTTGCGGCTCGTTCACGAAATTGGGCGATTTCAGATATGACAAGACCACGCTGTGTCTCAGGAAGATCGGCTTCTTGAAGATCGTGTAGATGTGGTGGGATAACATATTTTTCTTTGTCGAGAAGACCGTTGTTGGCTGCTTCTTGCGATTGTTTATTGATCTCGGCTACTAATTCATCAACCTTGGTTTTTGCTTGTTGCAACATTGTCTCATCGGCCTAAGCGCATCATTCGTTAATTCATTGACGGTCAGGTAAGGAGAGTGGAGAATAATTACATCAGTTTTCATTTTTTGTGCAGAGTAGGCATCCAGAAAAAGCTTTGTCTTTTCATCGGCTTTGATCTGGATATTCGACGTAGGCTTGAAAGGAGAGATATATACAAAGCACGACGCACCAGTAATTTCTTGTTCGCACACCCATCCTCGAGTGCCGGTAACTCAACACCCTGCAAAAGAGCAAGACATCGTAAGGCAGAGTCAGGATCTTCAAACTCAGCAAATCCAAAACCCTGCGGCTTGTTCGCTGGGGTGATAAGGCGTTTGAAGGACTTGACGGGACCACACGCCTGGGAAGCCGCTTTAAGGGATTGACATGAGAGGATTTGGACATCTGATCCTTACCACAAGAAGTCTGTTCAGAAAGCTATCGGTGACACCGCCAGATATCGAGCCCACGAACAGAGATGTCAACTTCTGTGCTTGAGGAGGGACAAAGCCCTGGTGAAGCATCTGTTGCTGCTGTGCGAGAGCCGACATTGAGGGCCCCTGGCCGTATGATGGCAAAGGTGGACGCAGACCAAGTCCTAACCGATTTGGAATGGGTTGCATTTTGATTGAAAATGTATCTTGAAGTAACAGAAACTTTGCAATTGATTCTTTGGAAGAGTCAGTAAGACTCTGTCAGAAAATGACATTAAGACGCACAATTGAGATACTCTAAACGTTTTGATAAACAATCAGAACAGTAAAGCAAAGGGGAAGAAGGCAGAGGCTCGAGGCAAGCTTGCAGCTAGTGGATGTCACCGCGTAAGTAAGCGCTCGTTGTGGTTCGCGTGAAAGGGCAGCACCCGACATTTCCCACGCTCTTTCGTTTGTAAATCTAGTTTCCTACATCGTCCTGCTTCAAGTCGCGAGCGCAATGGTCCTCTTCTTCACTTCCACTGGTAAGTGCTTCTATCATATCAAGTTGCGGCAATACTGATATCTGGTATAGTGGTCGATCCGCCAGTAATGCTTTACATGGGCAAGGATAAAGTCGAGAGTGAGCCCAGCAACATCCATCACACAACACACTGAAGTTCACCATACCAGATCAGACGAAGATTTGATCAAATATGCATGGCCTCAGGATGTGTGGTTCCACGTCGACAAGCTGTCCTCTGCGCACGTCTATATTCGCATGCCACCGACCATGATCTGGGACAGTATTCCCCAGGCGCTTTTGACCGATTGTGCGCAGCTGGTGAAAGCTAATTCGATCGAAGGTTCGTGAGCATATTCAGGTCATCTATCGCCCGACGATCGATCTTGGATGTGAAGGAAATAAGAAAGACAACCTCACCATTATTTATACTCCTGGGAGTAACCTCAAGGTAGGTCTACCATAATCGCACGTACTTGCTGCCCACCTGAAGATGTTCATACCAGAAATCCGGAGACATGGCCGTCGGTCAGGTGTCGTTTCATAGTGACAAACAAGTACGTGTGCCTATATCTCGATCGTCGCTGCCGACTAAATGCTGTTGTTTGACAGGTCAAAAGAGGTTTCAATTTCCCCATTCAATCGTTTTCATTGCTCAATACCCCCTCAGTTCACATTCCAAAGCGAGAAAATGTAATTGTAAACCGTCTCAACAAGACAAAAGTCGAGCGGGATGTGGATCATGAGCAAGAGCGCGTAGAGCGCATCAAGAAAGAGAATGCAGAGAAAAGAGTTATAGCTGCTCAAAACGTTCGCTTCACACTATCTCACTTTCAAATCAAACACTAATTAAGAACACAGAAAAAAGCTGAAGCAGAGCTAGCCAAGGCTAGAGAAGCGGAGAAAGCTTCCCGCTCCTACGATTTGTTATTCGAAGTCGAGGAAGATCCTGATGCACCGAAGCTGACTGGGAAGGCTATCGAAGAGGACTTCATGTAATCGTATAAATCTGATCCAAGCGCCTGTCAACCATATTGTGCTCTCTTGAGTCCGTCGTAATATACCTGTATGGACTTATATATCAGGCAAATTGCCTCCTGTGATATCGGTAACCGGATAGTTTTGGGTCCTCCTTTCGAAGTTCTGGCGCCTGCCTAGACTCAACCAAAAAAAACTATGACCATACGTTTTGCCGCAGCCACGATCCATACAACAGGGGAGGACGTAGACGATCAATCGGTATCATCTCAAACGGACTCAGATTACGCCGAGGAAGACAACAACTTTGAAGATTGGGTATCAGATCAAGCGCAAAATCAGTCTTGCCGGTCGCTCTTCGAGGACAAGGCCTTTCCTTCAGCTGCTGCTGCTCGTGCACACGATAAGGATGTCCATAACTTTGACCTACGCACCATAAGCGCGAAACTGGGTTAGTGTCGAAGTTATCATGATTTTCAATCAGTGACGATCAAGCCTAGAACTGGACCTTCATCAACGCATACGATTAATCAACTTCATCAGAAAACATGTGCGATTTTATTCGATCCCTTACGTGTCGTCGACTGACGCACAGCTTCAGGCACCTACATCAGAGGATATCGGGAACCTAACAGGGGCGGAGACTCTTTTCTCTTCAGATGAGTATCTGATCCCACAGATTGAAGATGATCCGCTACTTCGTGCGTATCATCACGTCTCCCTCATCCTTCATACAATGCTCAATCGTCCAAAGAACTAGAAATGGATGACTGGTCAGATGATGAAGACCTCGCCAGCACTGACCAACGCCCAACCCCACCCGCTGATCTACCAAGCGCGCTTCGGCAGATGCAGCTCCTTGAAAGGAAGCTCGCACAAGCTCATAGGGACATGGCAGAATACCGCTCACTTGTCGGTCAACAGTTTGACGCGGGGCGTTTTGCAGAGATTATCAACGAACCGAGTTCTTCATTAGCAGGACCGTCACCTCGAGACGACGACAGCCATTATTTCTCCAGCTACTGTGAAAACGGTGTGTGATTTTTCAGGGGTTAACATTTTAATGTCTCATATATTGTGAAAAGACATCCATGCTGTTATGATACAGGACAAAGTTCGCACTTCCACTTACGCGTCGTTCATTCTCACAAACCCCATCCTATTCCGCGATGCTGTCGTACTCGATGTCGGATGCGGTACCGGAATACTCTCCCTCTTTGCCGCCAAGTCAGGGGCAAAGCACGTTTACGCAGTCGATGCAAGCGACATCGCGGAGAAGGCTGAGCAGATCGTCAAAGAAAATGGGCTAGAAAATGTCATCACGTAAGACCATCTGCTAGTTCTCCCTGTCCGCTCTCCATGATTTCTCACGCAAGCCCAGCGTCATCCGTGGAAAAGTTGAAGAGATCTCCCTCCCGGATGATGTCGAGCACGTTGATATCATCATCTCCGAATGGATGGGCTACGCATTGCTATACGAATCCATGCTCGACTCTGTGCTGCAAGCGCGCGACAGATTCTTGAAACCAGAGAGAGGCGTGATGGCCCCGAGCCAGTGTAGGATCATGTTCGGGCTCTGTGAAGGTAGCGAAATCTTGAAGGAGCGCGTAGGATTCTGGAGTGATGTTTACGGTGTGTATTGTTCTATTTCATCGTATCGCATGATTCTCAAAATACGTCGCAGGTTTCGATTTGTCGATCATGGCAAACAATGTTTATGAGGAGGCCATCGTCGACGTCGTCGGGCCAGAATCAATGGCGAGCGAACCTTATCTCCTCAAAGACCTCCACCTAAAAGACGTCACATCCCGCCAACTTGACTTCACTTCCCAATTCACCCTCGTCTCAACTACCCCAAAACGCACCAAGATTCACGCGTTTGTATTGTACTTTGACACGTTCTTCACGACGACGGGCGAACCAGTCCCACCTGAAGTGCCCGTCAAGGTGACAAAGGAGGGTGATGTGACACTTGCTGAGGTGTGGCCTGTGGGCGGGAAAGCACCCCCACAACGTCGTGCAAGCACGGGTCCTGGTCTCAAGCAAAAGGAGGATAAGAGAGTGACGAGCTTCAGCACAGGGCCTTGTAGTCAGCCAACGCATTGGAAGCAAACAATCTTCCTATTAAGAGATCCGATCCATGCAGAAGACGGTATGTTGCACATCTCCATTTTGAATCTAGACGGCTCAGGCTCAAGGAATACAGGCACCATTGTGACAGGGACGTTCTACTGCAAGAAAAGCGCTACTAACTCTCGCGAACTTGATGTGGAGATCCATTATTCTGTGAGACAGAATGCTGAGACAACGGCAGTTGGAGAGACTGTCGTTCAGATATATAAAGTGCGATGATATTCGTTGCGTGCTGTAAAATATCGTATACATGTTGCTGTCTGTAGCCTCAAGTTCGTTGCTGACTAGCACATGATAGTAGATCGCCTTCGAGTTCGACATTGCGCCTAACCAGACTCTACCGCACAGATATGCGACTCGGATAAATGACTTTGAATTGGAACTTACATCGAGGAATTATTATGTAAGACCTTGCGCCTCTGACGAGGAACGTTCTAGGCTAATTGTCCGAGCTTCAAGTTAGTCTCGAGGACAGGCTGGACAGCGAGGATGATAAACCCAAATTATGTACTCGGCCGCGAGAGTGGTGGGACCCCATAGATCCGGGAGACAAACAGCCAACAAACAGCCCTACACAGATTGAAACTTCAGATGGCTGTAATTCATTAGTTTGGTACAAAGCCGTGGCTATACGCCTCAACGCCAGACAGCTCCTTGGGGGTTATCATCATACTGGGTTTTTCACGCGCTACAGGAGCTGGCATGAGAGCCTGAGCAAGCGTAGCAGGCAAGAGTCTCGCACCATCCTGAGCATGTCCAAGTGGCTTTATTGCTGTAAGTAACATTAGCTCCTGGACCACCTTGTTGTAACACCATTGGTTATAATACCCACTTAGTTCGATCAAAAAGAAATCTTGAAACTTGCCAAACGCCCGAGCTCGCGAGCCGCTGCAACAAAGTGTTAGCAAACGTATCTGGATTCTGGTGCAATGAAACTCGCCTTTGGCGAAGCCTTCCGCAGAGTTGGTAACATATTCAGACTCATATCAGCGCAGACGGCCGAGGCACGAGTTATACAGTGCCAACTCCAATCTCTATATCGAGTCAGGGTTCCGGGTCGACTCCAGCAACCAGTACTAGTGCGGCTGCTAAGATTCTCGCGTCCTACATATAGCCCCCACACTCACCGAATACTGAGTACGAAGCACTCACTATGCGATGTTGAAACTGCCGATCTGTAGGGCCTCACACTCTGGTCCTTTGCTATGTATATGACTTCAAATCTATCACTTAGATTTGACTACTCCGACCCGCCAGCCCGCACACCGAAGAACATGGACTTCGCACATATCATGGAAACCACTACCCGAGATCCGACAAACCTTTGTAGACGAAGGGAGATAATACCTGCTAATAGGAATGAAGTGCGCTTTCAATTTTCAGACCGAGTCTGGACATTCAATTTTCACGAGTGAACTTGAAGATGTCAAAGGAAGCGTTATCGCACTCAAAACACGCCTCCAGATTCACACGAGTATCTACTTATGGTCCGAGGAAGCATATGTATGTGGTGTTCCTATGCGCAACTTTCTGAATTGATATCGCCATAGACTCAGTCGTCAAGCGATACTTCCAGTACTACTTGTGAATGCTTTGTCGGAACAATGGTCACTGTCCGATATTTGCGGTTATTTGGACCTTCTGATGTTCTATAACTTTAAGTGTCATAATGATCGTGTTGACACGGCTTCAAAGGTGTCGCAGATTCACGTTGGGAACACATGGCCATGTCATACGTACAATTTGATTGGCGCCTAGAGCGAGTATAAGAATAAAGACTCGAGCCCACAACTCTCCAGCACTTCACGATGTCGAACCATCAAGCACCTGTCGAAGCGCTCTTGATGAGATCAATTCTTGGCCAACAGCTCGTGGATACAAAGCTCCACACATTCTCAAGCCGCTCAGCACATCCACGTAAAGTCATCCGACCCCAAGCCTTGTTCGTCAACGACGTTGTTCTGATAGCACGTTCCGAGTTTTTTGCCGAGAGTAAGCTTTTTTCCTTCTCATGAAGGGTGGTGAGCTTGCTCATTAGAGTTGACAGTATTGTCGAGAACGGGATCACTTGACGCCACATTTGTCGACTTCGACGGTGGCTCAGAATTCGAGGATGGAATAACACTTGATGACTACGGATATGCATCTGACAGTGATCTCGAAGATGAAGAAGAGGACAGTAAGTGGTTCACAGCAATATCGGCAACGTGAATCTTCATACCTTTTGCAAGGAAACATCCGAATCAGTGAATCAGAGGATGATGAAGACTCCGACATACTGGTTTTGGCAGACACTACATCCGAAAATGATGCCTTAACCAGCCCACCACAAGCAGAAAAGCCTATCGTCCCTACTCTTATTCAACACCAACCACAAGTTGTCAACTACCGGAACATACTCGTGCGAGACACGGCCTTCAGGACGTAAGTTCATGTTATCACAATTGTGGCGGGCCTTTGATTTCGTATATACAGATTGAAAGCATTCTTACTGTATCTGTATACGGATAAAACCTCCTTCTCCCCACTCAAGTCCCAGGGACCGCCCGGAACTGATGGGCAGACCCCAAACCCTAGCACTTCGTGGCCTTGCTCACCGAAGTCGATGTATCGTTTAGCCTCCAAGGTTCGAGTAAACTTACCTGGTACTCTCCACACATCCTAATACACAATTGTCAGGTTCGACTCGACAACCTTCGCGATCGTGCTTTCTATGAAATACGTAATAGGTTGGATGCGAAAAATATTCTCCAAGAGCTTTCTTCATCATTTACATCCAAGTCAGTCTTTTTTTGATCATGGCATAGCACAGTGTTAACCAGCTTCGCGGTGTCAGGTATCCTGCAATCCTGCAAATGAATGTAGAAGTCCTACTCCAGCATATCGCATCTGTTCCTGTCATCCAGAATATCCCTGCGCTGCTCAGGAGGATCACCGACTCACAATTGCCCCATGGAGCAGACATTATCATTAGTTTGTACCAGAAATTCCTGCTGCAGCACCATCCTCGGGCGCTTGCACTTGCGAATGCGCCGAGTGACTTGAAAGGGAAAGGTGGTAAGAAGGGCAAAAAATAGTTCCAGGTGTAAATTGCATTGTATGTATTGTGTCTATGAATATTGCTGTCGCAATAGATTGCTTTCTTCCTTCCGTTGTGTGCCCGGGGCCTATGGATTTGAATCAGACTTATACAAGCTTCAGTGAGCCATTGAAATACGCATTTGTGATCACTGTAGTCATTGACCGATCTCGTTCCTATAGCAATTCTTTCGCAAGGATATACAAGTATAGGTAACGCAAGTGTATGCGAAGTAATCCTGTTGACCACAGTTAGCGCCAATGACCTAATTTCTTCCGAGGTCAATTCATCCACTCCTTTCCGACCAGAGCATGTTCATACTAAGACCATCTTCGATGCGTCAAATACCCTTCATCTCATTATGGCATCCGCTGCCGGGAGTCTGGCTCTCCAAGATTTCGTCAAGGATGGGATTATTGCCAACGAGGGCGTAAAGGTGGAGGAGCTACAGGACAATGGTACACTGAAGATGTTCGCGGAAAAGAAGTTCGTGTGATTTTGGGTACCATTGTGATATAAGGCTGCTGGCAGTTGTCTTTATACCCATTTTTACTCTTGTCTGATTCTAACGGCTTCGCTGTCGCTGATTTTGATGATTCCATCAGACTTCCTAACTAGTAACTACGCATGCACGTTTAACTGTTAATAATGTTATTCTACAGTCACTCTACATCGGTTGAGTTATTTGCTACTCATTCTACCTTTTCCCCCGCAAATAGACATGTGATGTCGATGTATTGGGACTCGGGACGTCGTTGCACGAATACTTGGCTGTAGCTACATGGCATTGGACAATGGAGTCCCAGAACCTCGGTCTGCCGAAGGAAGCTGTGGCTGTACTTCTTTTCTGCCTGACCGGGATGATCCTGATTTATGCGGCAAGTCAGAGTCACGTGCGCGTGTTGATGGGAAGTTGGAATGTGTCGTCACTGCAGTAGGTCCACAACCACCCATCAGTCCACATCAGATTGATGGATGGGCTGCCACAATATTTGCGCCACATTTGTCAGGCAGATATAAGGGAAGAGGAAGCGGTCGCTCTTTCTTGTTTTCTTAGTTTTCTCCATTTCACCAGTCCCATCCACAACACCTAGTGTCATGTCCCCTGCCGGCGAGACAAGCACATCGTTTACTCCACCTCGCGCCAATGCACCAGCTCATGGTTCTAGCAAAATAGAATCCACTCCAAACAGCCGTGGGGCTGCCGTGGTGAGCGAGAACATTGGCCTGGTCGGTGTCACATCAGGAAATTCACACATTCCTTAATGTCCTTAATCAGCTTAACTCACTTATCTCGAAATTTGTTTGCTCTCTCTCGCATCATTCACCTGGCATATCTTATATTTTTTGAGTGTGAAATATAATAGACCATGTATATTAATATACCTCAATGATGTTTTTTTGAATACATTCAAGTTGAAATTTCGGATAAGTAGATCCCATTTCACCAAGGCAGTTAAGTGTAAATAAGTTCCATTTAAGCACAAATAAGGAATGTGTGAATTTCCTGATGCAGGTGCGCACCTTTCTTATTTGTATTAAGTAGTACCTAACATTCCATCAAGGGTTAAGGACATCCGTCCATGGATTCAGCGCGATGTAGGGATTCATTTCTGGCTGGGCTTGTAGAGACTGTTTTTACCTTACCTTATGTTGGCACTTTTGTAGCTTACATAAGCAAGTTATCTTTTCACCAGTTATCAGTATGAGTCTGAGTCTTCAGTAGTTTTTCATGATATTTCCTCTCCTCTGAGCCTTGAGCCTGGTCCAGAAACCCTTTAGGGTCGAATAGCAGCTAGGTTCTGCAAGACCCAACATTGTTCAGACTCACTCTCTGAATTGTTGTACCTTCAGCGACATCGAGCAGGTCAAGCAGTGCAAGGCAGATGCAATGCTACAAGCCCTCCTGCAGCGTGCTTCTTGCGCTTCGGAAACTAAACAGCCTGAGCTCCTGCAAAAGTGCCCAAAGGCAGTTCTTCCGGTTTGCAATGGACAGGTCTCTGCTGGAGGCATATACTCTTCGGGTATCGAGACAGCCCTGAAAAAATAGTGAGCGTCCCCTCACTGATCGGACGTTTTCCTGCTCACCATGATTGCAAGTGTTGGTCCAGGAGGAGAAGGCAACTTCTACGGCCCTTTTATAGAAGCCACCAACATCGCGCTCGCTTGTCTTGAGGAGATCAAGGTTGACGGGATGCGAGCTCCTGTCCCCGCTGTAGACATGATATGTCAGCAGAATGACATGCCCATGTATCAAAACCACCAGGACATGAAATCAACTCGGAAACCCGACTGCGTCATTCTTCCTTTGAAGAGCGCATGTGCTCCTTTCGAGGATGAGAAGAGCGGCAAACAGGGCAAACAGAAGCGCAAGGCTCACATGGTGAAGAATGCAATGTCCAAGCCGCCAGCGTCACTCCCCTGGGAAGATATTCTAGCTTGCATTGAGTTCAAGAGAAAGACGGCAGGGAGGAAGCAAGGGATTCAACCGCTGCCGCCCTCTTTGTATCATGTGAAAGACCATGTTCCTACCAAACCAGAGTATTTACCGGTGGATCATCTTAAGGCTGAAGATCCGGCGCCAGGTCCTACGCAGACCCCAGCAACCCAAGTGCCCGACACTGCAAGTAAGTGATTGTATTATTGATTACAAGATCAAGCTAAATCGGCCGAGCAGCAGTTCTATCTTCCGGCCTGAATGCTACCCAGTCTTCCCAGTACGGGTCTAGTTCCAAGCGCAAGGCCACGGACACTTTGCAATCCGCCGCGAAAAAAACCCAAGGTCATTTCCGATGAGCCTGATGTGACTGTCCAGACAGGTCTGTATGCTGCTGAAATGTTTGCGGCCAATCTTGCCGTCGGTTATCTAATTAATCTTATCGTCATCGGTGGGTTCGCTCGGCTGTCGAGATCAGTCTCGTTCTTACCACAGCTTTTTTAGACGATGTTGTCTGGATCTGGTATTATGATCGCCAGGGCACTATCCAAAGCTCGGGCATCAACTTCATTCAAGATCTCCCGCGATTCATGGTGCTATTGTACGCTTTACAACACTTTGAGCTCCACGATTGGGGCAGAAACAAGGACTTCCTCCCAGTTCAAGTTGAGGGGAAACGATGCTACGAATTCAATATCAAGGATGAAAAACTTGGAGAGGTGGATCTGCTGCTTCACACCAGCCACAAAGATAGAGTGATGCATTACGGACTACAAGGCCGAGCCACCAATGTGATCCCTGTCACTAGCCAAGCACTTGCAAAGAAATACGACAACCTCCCGGATGGGATGGTGGCCAAGGTCTTTTGGGGAGAGGCGAATCACACTAGCGAGCCGGAAATTCTGAAAAGAGTCGAGGAGATTACTGAGGCGCACGACACCGTAAAAAACCATATTCCCAAGCTGCTCTGGCACCACACGTTCACAAATCCCACATCTGCCATCCGAGAAGCGCTCAGGGTTGTGGAACCCACCACAGGCAGTCGCGTGCTCTACATTCTCGTATTCCGTAAACTTCAACCCATCACGAAGCTTCACGGCAAAGAACTTTTCAACGTCTGGCAGCAGTGTATTCTATGTACGTGTTCGATTGAATTTATGTTGCTGTTCGTTGACATAGTGTGCAGGTCACCTCACTCTATGGAAAGAAGGGGTCTATCATCGAGATATCAGCCCTGGAAACTTGATGTGGTACAAGAAAAACAACAAATTGATTGGTGTCTTAAACAACTACAATCTATCATCGTTGGCGAATGTCGCGGGTCCTCAGGGCAACGAGCGTACGGGACGGTACCATTCATGGCACTCGATCTCCTGACTGAAAAGGCTCAATGAGGCGAAGTCAAACATTTATATCGCCACGATCTGGAGTCGTTTATGTGGGTTTTTATCTGGATTTGCTTGCATTATGGGGAGGGAGTCCTTCTATCAGCGGAAACGCGCCCCTTGTAGTGATGGAAAAGTCTGGTTCAGTCCAGTTCACCAGGAAAATTGGTGAACGCTGAACTGAATGTTGCGTTCGGTTCAGCGATTTTGCTGAATGCTGGACCGAACGTAGTCAAACGCGTTCGGGACGTTTAGTTCACGTTCAGTTTGGCATTCAGACGCTGAACGTCTCCGACTCAATGCATGCGAAAGAGACTTGGGATTGCAGCAATATCAAAACAACATGTACTCTACATGTCAGTAGCACCTACACTAGCATCAGGCTTGACATGCGCTGTTGCATCAGTTGCAGCCTGTAGATGCCCATTACGGTAGGCACTCTTCAACAATTGCAGTGCCTCGAAGACCTGAGGTGTAAGCCGGTTGCGTCGACTATCATCTGTCATGCCACCACTTGAGAAGGCCCGTTCTGACGGCGTTGAAGAGCCTTGAATAGCAAGGTAATCTCTTGCCATGCGTGAAAGGGTGGGGTACATGGTGGAATGATGCTAGAGCAAGCACATCAACAAAGGCCGGTCAATACAATATGTACTTACCTCCCACCAGCGAACCACATCAGCCACCTCCTCCAATTCGCATGCTCCATACACCTAACTCTACGCTGATGATGGTCTTCGATCCCGGCTTCAGGAACCACTTCGGCAAATGTCTTGATGGCTGAATCGTTGTTCGTCGCATTGTCAGCTGTAAACCACCCGATCTATGTGATTTTGCGTTAGTTCAATCATGATACAACCAATAAAGTACGTTACCTTCTTTTGCAACCCAAAACGGTCCACAATTCGAACAAGAATGTTGCCCCTGTGACCGACAAGTATGGATTGCCGCTGTCCGAAGTCCAAGAATCAAATGTGAAGGACACTCGCCCAGGAATGTCCTTAAGATGCTCGCGGATCCGGGACTCAACCATTTGAGCATGGCGAACAATCTCTTCCTGTATCTTATGACGTCGAGGGATATCTTTGTCAGAAAGGCCGGGGCGAGTGTATGTGAGAAGTCGCCGAAAAGCGCCTTTGTCAACGAGTTGAAATGCTTCGTCTTCAGCAACAATCAGTTCGACTATGTAGTCCAGCAATCCAGCAGTGGTAAATGCCGGTGCTCGATGCTCTCTTACAACTGCGCTGTCCAATGTCTTCTGATTAGAGCTGTTAAAAAAAGTTTCGTTAGAATCTTAGATTGAGTAGTGGGACACAATGAATTGCATACGGTACATCATCTGCAGGTAATGCATGCATATGTGGCTGGATTCCATGCTTGCGGCATCGATCTTTGTAGAGCTTTGTGTGGTCCTTATGCCTGAGATATGTGAGGTAGGGTACATCAGTAGCAAATTGAAAGCTTACCTCCGAATATGAGCTCGAAGGGAAGTGACACTGCCCTTCAAAAAACTAAACTTCTGAGCAAGACCATTTGCCCTGTCGAAAGCGATGTTAGATAAGTAACAACAACGACACAGCATTCAAAACTTACTTGCAGACCTCACACCAGTGCCCATCCTCTTCCTTTCCAGTATCGGGGTTGATAGTGTTCGACTCACGAGTGAATATTGTACGAATGTCGGCGGTCAAGTCACTTTTACGCCATTTGGCACCCTGCACAAAGAATAAGTTAAGTTGGACGAAAAATTGAATGGAGAGTTCACTTACCTCACAGTCTGCGTCACCCATCTCTTTAGTTTGTTGATATGTTGATGGGGTGTCGTCATCAGTACGTGTATCCATGTCAGTTGCAGTACCTGCATCAGTTAGTACTTCATCGGCGTCATCCCACTCAGGGTCTTCGGCAACTGCATCTTCAGATTCATCCTCAGTAAGTACCACTTGCTGTCCAGTAGCTTTGTGTTTGCCCAAGACAGCATTGTTGGGGTCAATAAGCTTGGAGGCAGGGCGTGGAACACGAGCAGAGCGACGTGAGCCAGCAATCATGATGGCAGGGGGTGGCAAAGGCGTACGAGAAGTAGGGAGCGGAGTATCATCATCAGCATCGTGAAACCAGGTGATATCACCGGCGTCAAGAAGAGCACCATCGGCACCTACAGCGCTTTGGTTATTTGACATATTGAGGGGGAGAAAGTCAGGGAACTCACTGTGGTCCCAGTCCGTGTTCTTGCTTTATTGAGCTTCGTGATCAGAGGTCTTCGCAACACAAGTATTAGTAGTTGATCAAACATTATTGCGTGAAAGATTTACTTACAGTGTAGGTCGTCTCGTGACTCGTTGAGGTCTTCTCTATTGGTCTTCTCTATTAAGTGTTAAATCAAATAGATGGATGCTGAGTTTATTCGCAAGGTTATTTAATGACGACGACCGATCTGTGTGAAGTGTGATGATGGCAATGCTTATCGATGGTGGATATCGATGAAGTTGCTGAGTCATCATGCAAAAAATAAGTATGCGTTCGGACGCAACGGTTCGAACACGTTCAAAACAGTCCAAGGACTGCTGAACGTTGAACTGAACACCCGGTTCAGTTCTTTCCGGCCGTTGAACGTCGGACTGGACCGCGGTTCGGTCCACTAAAAATCCGGTTCAAACCGCGGTCCAGGACCGAACTTTTACATCACTAGCCCCTTGGATCAATGGGTGAGATTAGACGCTGTGATGTGCGGGACGATGAAATATTTTTTCTTGGGCCACCCACCAGACCGCCCCTCGCACATAGACCCGCGTATATGGCGTTTCCTTCTGCAGTGTGTCATTGTGCTCAAAAAAGATGCTGACTATCAAATTGGTCTCCGTCTCGAGAAGCTAATAACGATGGTACCGGGCAACGATGAGGAAATAGAAGATATCGATGGTTCTTTACGCATGTTTACAAACACGACGGGCTGGGTTGAGCTCTCTGAGCTCAGCAACCCTTTACAGTGATTTCTGTACTTTTACATACACAGTTTTCTGGATATCGATATTTGTAGCTTTCAGCTATGTGTGCTAATCTGTCGAAATATATGACTCTGCCGAGTGATTTTGCTACCCTTCAGCCACACTAACTTGCCCTGGCTGACCTGTCTGCCTGCATCACCAAAATTGCTGAAATCAGACAGCACGTGATATGTGGCAAATTTCAACACTTGTGCGATACCTGTCAGCTATTGTAAGATACACCAGCGATGTTGGCGTGTCAGCACGACATCTGTCTGTCAGACTCGCTGTCGGATAGATACCATCCTGTCTGTAGTGTACCTATTAGACATTTGCTAGGTAATAAGATGTATTATAGTAGCATACATGCAATACATTTAGTGCTACTTGTGATCATAGGGCCCCATAACCTTCTGCTGCAAGTACATCATCGTCAAGCTCCTCACCATCATCAGCGATTACTCTGTCCTCATCCTCCTCGTCCTCCTTACCTTTGCCCTCATGTTCCTTGTCTACAGGCTCGAGCCCAATATCATCGTCTTCTGCCTCCAAGTCCGAGTCGTCTTCCACATCCTCTTCCGAATCTGAATCGGCTTCATCATGGCCATGTCCTTCGCGCTGGAGGAACTCGTCCCAATCACGTGTAGCCTTGTGGCCTATTCCACCACCTCGAAAGCGCATGAACATGTCCCTATCTACAAACCTGTACATAAATAAAGTTAGATAAGAGTCTAATCATGTGTTTCAAGACACTTACATGTTTAAGTAGTAAAAACGCCAGTCCGAATCATCCCCACATGAGTCACCCTTCCGCCGTGCAAATGTCGGTCCAAGTAACTCATCAGTAGTACTGAAAGCGAATGCAGGAATTAAATGAACACCACAAATCACTGAGTCAGGGTCCAAGAATCCGAATGCATCCAAAAGGCTATCACGATCGAAAAATTCAAGACGCTGCAAGCGTTTTGCGGCCCATCCTGCAGGTGAGCTGTCACGACGGAACCAACGAACAAATAGGACATCGACACGAGTTGGGGGAGTTCGCAGTGCTACAGAATGCTCGCGATACTCTACATTCACGTGGAAAATCTGAATGACGCGTGCATACCAGTATGGGTGCGTGCGTTCATCTTCATGGGAGAGTACCATGATATCGGCGCGGGTATGAGGATTGATGGTATCTTGCTCACGTCGCAGGTTGTATGTAGTATAATTGACGCGTAGAATACTGTGTTCAAATATCTTGTTGTCCGTAATAAGGACTGAGTGGCGATCTTCATCGGAGAAGTTGTGTTCGTCACCGTCGTATGCAATATTACGAAGGCGGGCAAGTAAATGGTCCTTGAGTCGAGGTATAAAATTCTAAACAAAACATGAGGGAGCTGCAATGACATAGAACAAGAATGACTCAGTACCTTGACTGCAGGATCATCTTCTAGGTCACCTAGCCAAGACGTGAGATCATGGCTTGCTCGTGAATATTTTGCAATGAAGTAATGGTCTGATGGTGAAGTACGTTCACGCTGACGTCTTGGCTGAGCTGGGTTTTTGCTGGCAAAGTGCTCACGAGCAACAATGACCTTCTCACAGAAGCGTTCGATGACTTCCTGTGATGCGATACTTGTGATTGTCGTCTCCTTGGTTTTTGGAGTCCGTGGGTACCGTCGTTTCGAGCGTCGATGCTGCAGTTCACCCTAGTAAGTTGAAATGTGTCAGTTAAAGTTCCTTTGACAGAAAAACACTTACTGGTTGGGTACTATAACTGTCTGTGGTCCCCATGCGCCGAATTGTGTTCGGATAATCACCGAGGGCATGATACTTGTATGTCTGAAGGTTGAGTGACTTTCGCTTCGCACCAGCGGACCTTCCTTGAGCAGTCTGAGGGTGCTTAGCAGCAAGTGCAGCCTCGTGACGGCCACGAGCTGCATGTTCATGGGGGAGCTCAGTAGTATGATAGTGGGCACATACTGTATGAGAGAATTTGCGGACCGATTTGCCTAGCACGACAGTCGCCAAGTCAAAGAACGATAGTGTATCCTCAGTATGCAAGCGGAGCTTTGCATATGCATGCCAAGTCGCTAGATCAAATAAAAGGTCCAGGATTATTCTGTTGTAGGTATCATCTTGAAGAAGGCTTTCGAATACGGGTATTGCGCACTACAAAACCGTCTGATTCATTGAGCAGTTCTGCAAGATAAGCTCAAATATATACCTGTAGAAGATCTTCAAAGTCGCGGGCAGCAAGTCGCTTCATTGCTGATGCGTTGTTGTGAAAACGTCGAATTGTTCCCCTTCCAAATGTAGGTACATTCCGATATCTGTGATGTAGATTAGTACTGTTGACAGCTGAAGTACGAACTTAAACTTACCTCCAGTTAAGACCCTGGATTGCTGATCCTCCTGCGGCAAATAGGATCCTCAACAGGTGAGCAAATATTGCCTTCCAGACGCCAAGTTCGAACTCGTGCAGCAAGTCGACAACAAACAGCGTAAAAAAGTTGAATAGAAACCTGAGAAGGTGCACTGAAAATGCATTCTGGGGGATACTGGTAAGCTTAAGGCATACAACACGCAGTAAGGGAAAAGCTTACTCGGGTCGGAACAAGTGATTGCGAGCCTAGAATATCTTTAACATGCTTGCCTTCGATTCCTGCACCCTTCCGAAAAATGAGCCTCCGGGCTTTTTTGATTTTCTGACAGCGAGCTTCATCATCAACACGTGCAGTCACCTCACGATGTGTCATGTCAGACTTTGTCCCCATCTTTGGAACATCGACTTTCCGGACAAGACATCGAGGACATGGATACTGGCCAAGGAACTTGATGTTCGCAAGAAGAATCCTGGTAGGGAGCATGAGACAGTGTTAAAAAATAAACAGATACCCTACTTCTCTGGATAATCAGCAGAATAGCTGAAAAAACGCGGAAAGACCCTTCGTGTGACTCCGTCACCACAACAAATGACGATACCATCCTCATATGCACGCATGAACTCCTCATCGAGAAGAAGCTCCCATATAGCGTGCATTAATTCACGCTTGCAATGGGTATGTATATCTGCTGTTGAGGCGTCACCAAAGACCTTCTTGTACTTGTCTTGAAAATCATCTGGAAGCTGCGTGCATAGCCAATGATTGATTAGTGCACCAGTAGGATTAATAGAATATGACGCACAGTTGGAATATAAGCTACATGGTGACATGCAGAGGCAGTTGGCTTGCCACGGGTGTACTTCGATTGATTTCCAAAGAAGAGGTAGAACGGCCAGAGTGATGCGTCACCAAAACTAGCAAGGTGGGTTGCGTCAGACCACATCATCAGCGAAGCCACGACACGTTCAAGGTTGTCATCAGCTGTGCGAGGAAGAGAATTAACTTCGGCATAGGCCTCTCGCATTGCAATGGATGAATAGGCTTCGGAAAATATTTCGATGTTGCGTCCGTCGGAGGTTTCCCACATTTGCTGAAAGGGGGTCATATGGAAAGTTGATGAAACACTATCTTCAAAAACCGACATAATGATATTAGTTAAAGAACGGTGGTGCACTCCCTCGATTTTGAGCTCGGGCGCATCTGCTTCAGAGGGCCATTTAATCTTCTCCTTCGGCAGACATATCTTAACTGATGACTTGTGCCAGCCATTGTCCGCACAGAATGGATTCGAGGTATCTGTAAGGTAGTCTTCAACGAGCTTCTTCTCACGTGGGATGTTGAATATACGAGCATCCTCTCTTTTATACTCATCGTTGTCGAGGAACGTTGTGAGGCGGTGCGTTTCTGCAGCTGACTTGGTGGTCGAGCCCGAGTACTGCCAACACATGAGAAGACCTGCTGTTGGGCTGCTGAAGGCGTCATATAGATTTTTGCGCGTGATTTCAGGCGGTGGTATAGGAACACCAGTCAAACTTTGCGAAGCCTGTTCGACTGCATTGCCTGCGGCATCCAGGGTGGGAGCATCACAAATACTATCAAGAGCACCACCGCCCTTGGGAATTAAGGTGGGAGGTGCGGAGTAGATGCGATAGAGCCCCATTGAATCAGGCTCTGTCTGGAAAGGGATGAGCGGTGGGCGCTGCAGAACATTGTCGTCGTTGAATCGTGGAACCTCAGGCTCTTCGATGGGCTCACTAGCCTGAGGCATGTGCTCAAGATGGGTCGCAGAGCCCGGAAGGTAGTCAACATAGCGATTTCGCATTCGTATCCTGCGACCTGAACGAGCAGAACGTATAACAGGAGCAGGGCTGGGAGGGAATGGTTCTGGCAAGGGGGGAGAATGACGGGGTGACAAGCCAGATGGTCCAGCGACGTTGTAGTCATCAACCTTGAAAATTCGTGTCAGTAAGACCTGGATACACAGTGCCAGAGACTTGCCTGCATGTTTTCAACTGGCATGTCGTCTCTAATGTCCATCGGTTCATCGGTCATCATTTGAGTGTCGTCATGTATCTGGTCATCTTGAATTCTTCTCCTCTTCCTCTTGTCTAGGTGCCGCTGCGACTTGCTTGCTCTTGTCTTGAATGCGCGCAGTTCAGGACACCGAGCCTCGTGACTACTCAGACATTTCTGAGTAGAAAATGACTTGTCGCAGCCTAGACAGGTAAGGTCATCATCCATGGTAAGGGTATGGCCAGGAAAACAGAGAGGGGGTGGCAGCAGCGTCAGACAGAAAGTGGGAGGAAAGGGTTATCGATTTCAACTGTACCTAATATACAAGCGGTACTTATCAGTGCCAGAACGGCTACCGAGAATCACCAGAACGTACCTCAGAATTCCTCCGCAGTCGGCGTCAGAGTATCCTGCAAATCTCCGGAATATTTAACACCGAGAAAGTGGAGGATTGCAGGGACCAGCTGACCGATTGGTCGTGTTCTGTTTGAGCGAGAATAATCTGCATAGAGCCAACGACTGCTGAACAGAAGGGCAACACTAAACATTAGAAACAGTCAAAAATTGGAATGCTGAGGAAAATGGATGCAAGAATTAGAGGTAGGGGAGAGTATTTGGTAGAACCAAAATTGAAATAACAGGCGCCCGAATACCGTTGAACGCAAGCCTTAACTCAGCCACGTTCAAGTAATGGAACGTGGTTCGCACTAGCACTAGTGAAACTTTAGCATGCATAGTTCATCATGTAACAAGCTTGATATTGATAAGTGCGGGTAAGTAAGTACATACATATGTATGGGCGCAACGAAGTTCATGACAAACGTCAGGCTACGGGAGTGATCTAGTGTGTCACTGTGACAGGCAGTGAAGATGCGAGGTTGGGTGAGGGCGAGAATGCGAGGTTGGGTGAAGATGCGAGGGCAGGTGAAGATTCTTTCTTGTAGCGTACGAGCTTGAGAGCAACACACCAAAACATGAGAGCCATTTTAAGGCGGGAAGTATATACTGACCTGAAGATGCGAGGGCGGGTGAGATAAGAGTCGACTTGACCCACCTCTTTAGCCTTCGTGAATGGAACATCGACAACGGGCGGCGTTGCATGATGGGGGGTGACTGGGAGAATAGGTGTCGTAAATGAGTTTTGATGGCGGTGGTAACAGCGACTGGTGGTGAGGTGATAGGCAGTGCAGGTGCAGGTGCGGGAGCTTCCTGAGGCCTCCTCATCATAGCGAGCCTGAATCTTTTGAGGCGCCCAGGGCGTTGTTGAAGTCTTGGCCTGGAAATCTGAGAATGCTATGATGAATTATGAGCGAGAGAACAGAAGTGACACGACGGAAGACTTGCCGTTGGACCAATCAAGACAGCTGGCCTTCGCGATGTCGTCGATGGCGTCCATCATGTATTTGTGTGCTTCGAGGGCTTCGTCGAGTTTACCTGCCGAAAGGAATGCCTGGCACCGTCTCTGGTGTGTAGTTAGCAACAAGGACTTGAGATCCCAGCTGAAGAGCTGGACATAGCGCAAAGGAGGGGTGAAGATGCGAGGGCAGGTGAGAATGTGAGGGCGGGTGAAGGTGTGAGGGCGGGTGAGAATGCGAGGGCGGGTGAAAATGTGAGGGCGGGTGAAGATGCAAGGGCGGGTGAAGATGCAAGGGCGGGTGAAGGAAGATGCGTGTAGCCGACGTTCGCCTAGTACAAGAATAAGCCGTGCACCCTCTCGATTCATTGAAGTTGCGGGTCGTGCCCTACCGGTGCATTGCAGCGAACAGATGCGGGGCGCACAAGATCTCACGCAGATCTGTCTTGTAGTGCACCAGATCTCACGCAGATCTGCCCTAGGGCCTGAACTGTTCGCACAAGTGATGCAGCAAACCAGACTGCAAGGCGCTAAGGCAAGTGATTGTTCTCGGCTTGAGCTGCAATTCAAAGTCAGTCGGCAATTGCCGGTCAAGTAGTAAACGCGTCTTCAAGCTCCCCTTTCTTTCTATCCACATATTCCCAATGCATTTCATTGATACCCACGAAACTCTCGACTTGTCTAACCGAACTACTTTCTTTCATGACAACGTTGTTGTCATGGAGGTCGATAATCTTCTTGCCGGATGGCCTACATACACTATTGATTTCACACCTGAGCGTCCGGGACCATTGGTAAGTTATTTTCATTGTCCAAATTACTCAATACAGCTTACATCTATATACAGAAGCTTGTTTTGCGCTTGAAGGATGCTTCAAGCTATCGGTCCACCGACGATGATGATAGTGCAGACGAGGCGGAGGGAACAGGGAAAGTCGAATGCACACCACCAGCCATCGAGGAGGACCCGGATGTTACCATGGCCTGTGAGGCCACCTCCAAGTGCATTTTTTTTGCTTGTATATTTGATTTTTGAATTGACCCTACTATAGGGATGGAACTCGGCACATTAGTGCAAACCCTGTGCAACTACACGGCATATTCAAGGAAGGTGCTTCAATTGTTCGCATGCGGGAGAAGTTCACACAGGAGAATGATCATACTTGGCCCCCTCGACGCGGCTTCAGGAGGATGGATGCGGAACCACTCACTCGTGTTAGTTCCTTCATGACGACACCTGCTGCTGTAGCGGCATTAAAGTTAGATTAAGTTCTCGTGTCCTATCATTATTGTTATCATATTACTGTACTTGCTGTCTCCGCACTGTTGCTATATCACTTTCCATGGATATTCTCGTGTAGTATTAGTACTTGCAGCATTCAATTGTATTTCTTGTTGCGTCGCGCATATAGTCACTGTTGTCACGATTCATGTGACTTGCCGCAAACGACATTCCCCACTGATCTTCCCCCTTAACCCTGTATCCTCCTTTACCTTCAACCATTATGGCGCGTCGGAAGCGTTCTCCAAGTCC